ACCCAATACTGAAGGCACCATAACTCTGTCATCTACAATTGGCTGAGTTTCAGATCTTAATTTTATTCTTACTGGATATGTAATCATGGAAAATATAGTCATTCTGTACCTCGGTTTCCTTCTCTGTAAAATGGTGATCACCTATCTGTATGGTTGGTTTGAGGACTTTTAGTTAGGAAATATTTGTAAAGTTCTTAAAGGAACTTGTGTCAATGATGGTACAGAGAATCTTCTTCCCCCAAAAAACAAATGTAAAATTGGACAAAATTGTCAAAAGCAATCATTTTGGCCTCTGAAAATTAACTAAAGCCAAACAACTAGTGGGGAGCATACACTTTTGAAAATCTGTTAGAACTTCCACTATGAGCAGTGGAAGTTGAAAGTATGAGGCTGCTCCTGCCCCTCATCTCTCATGGTTAGCTGTCATTGTAGTAGCTTCATCAGGAGAAGGCTGGTCTTCCAACACAGTGACTTTGCTGCCAGAGATGTTCAGGGTGGAAACCAAGACCCAAGAGCATTGTCAATTAAAACAGTAGACGCTGTAGGAAATAAACATCTGCCCCTGCCTCTCCCCACATCGTAGCTCTTCTACCATTTGCTGTGGTCCAAGTTACAAAGCACTATGCAGGCACCACCAGGAAATGAGGAGCCACTAGATCTTTAATCATTCTTGACTAACTAGGAAGGTGCACACCTGTACAGAGAGGTGTGATAGGGCTGGCAGAAAGCAAATAGCAGGCTGATTTGAAAACTATCTGAACTTTGAATACTCTTCCCAACACTCATATCAGCAGAGTGGAACATTACTATGGGCTCATAGTTTTTGTGCAAAATTTATGTCTGATCATTGGCTGATCACTAAGCTGTACAAAGACAGAGGATAACTTCTAGGAACCTCGACTAAAAGGTAAAAACAAAGCAACAAGCAGAGATGTCGGTAGCTGTACACAGTGGTGGAGACAGATTTTGTAGATCAAGTCAGGACACTAAAAAGAAAACACAACAGCTACAATTTCTCTGGGGAAAGTAATATGAATCCACAGTTGGTGGATTAATAACAGAATATTATTTGAAATGTATAGTTTCCAAAAAAACCCCAGAAAGTTCACAAGATACACAAAGAAACAGGAAAGTTGATCCATAATCAGGAGAAAAAGCATTCTGCAAAAACTGCTTCTCATGTAGCCCCAGATGATAGATTCAGCAGGAAAACTTTTCAGAGCATCTATTATAAATATGTGCAAAGATTACAGTAAAACTGTATTTAGAGAATTAAGAGGAAGCATCATGACAATAACTTAACAAATATGAAATCTCGGTAGAGAAATAAAATATTACTTTTAAAAGGCCTTAGAGAAAATCTTGGTACATCTTAGTTGTTGTTTTATCAGTGTATTATAGATCAACACCCCACTCGTAGCCTTACCCCCAGTGCATCCCACCTTTATCTGAACCTGGAGATTCGAATTCAGTAGGTCTGGAATACAACTTGAAGCTCAGTCATGAAAAGCTTCACTTACAGCCATGTTTATGATCCTGCAAACTAACAACAATAAAAATTAAAGGATTCAGTTTAAAAATCAAAGAGCTTCATAATCAATTCTGTGTTTCTGACAAAACAGTAAGAATTTTGAATTATGGCTCCAAGCCAGTCTTTTAATAGCATGTTCTAATATTCCTCACATTTTCTAATAATATGATTTATTCTGTTTTATTATGGAATTAAAATTGCAAATCACCTCTGCCTTTAAAGTAGATTGTGCTCAAAAATATTATTTAATGTCACTTGTTTGAGGTTCCATATAGCTTTTTCCACAAATAAATATCAGCTTCTAAATTTGTTTTAATTGAAAGTATTTATATAACAGTACTGATTTAAGCTTAGTTATTTGACAGGAAAGGAGGAAATTGCTGTTGTCTGTGTATGTCTGTCCCTCCCCGCCGCCCCATACACACACACACACACACACACACACACCATCTTTCAAAGCTGGGCGTGCTTACTGCTATTGTCCTGACATTTGTCTGGTTCTGTTTGCTGCCCAGTTTTTTTTTTTTTAACATCAAATATTTTGTTTGAGTAATTTTAATAGTTTGCCATGATTTCCTAATGGTTTCCAGGTTTCAGATATCACATTCCCCACCCCACCCGCTTCCTGTTCAATCCAGTTACACCTTTAGTTTTCTCAGTAGAACTGAGCATTCAGCCAGGTTTGAGAGTTGCCAGTCCAGACCACACCAATATGTGACCCAATAACCCATTAAGAACATTATTTGTCTCTTGGAAAGAAGGTGCATTTTTGTCTAGGTGACTTTCTCTTCCATTGAATTAGTAAGAAGCATTGTACAATAAGGATTCAGAGAACAGTTTTTGGCATTGGGTTGACCCGAACACAACCCAGCTCTTCAAGCTGGATGTTACTTTTGATTTTGAGTGTCAGGATCACCCAATAGGACACATGGGATAAGTTATATCATGCAGAGTAACTGAAAGTATAAAGATAAAAATAAAGCATTGTCTTTTATAATAGGAATACTGTAGATGGTGACAACCTAGAGAACTGAAATAAAAATTTCATGCACGAGGGTTTTGATGTGGAGGCTGATCCATAAGTACCTTCCAGGCTGGCATAGCACAGATGTTTGTCCCCCAGAGACATATTTGCTATCCTTGGCTTTCTTTTTTACCTTTTGTCCTATGTTCTGTCGCTTTAGGGGAGAACCCTATTTGAAAATTGTAATTCAGACTTCAAATTGTAACCTGTTATTCTATTCAAGAACTTTTTTTTTTTTTTTTTTTGTGGCACACACTAACAGTGGTTGTCTACACTTGACTGGATGTACAATGAATAAATTCACATAGCATTTTAAGTATTTTAATGCACACTTCTCATCGCTTTAGAGCCATACAGGTAGGAAAAATAATATCACAGATGTTTCATCTTCATTTTGCAGATTACAACCCTGAAGCTTAGAGAAATTTTTGCCATTTTGGGTCTTTTAATTGATTTGATTGGAGCAATAACGTTTCCTTTGTCTGTTGAATCCTTTCAGCCATGTCAGTGTCTATAAGTTGAAAAGGTTAACAGCTGTGTTCCACTGTCTTAAGTATCTTACTTATTTTGGGGAAGAACTGCTAAGACAAAGGTATTTGGGGATAATGATGCTGATAGCAAATTTATATGTATACATTAAACAAGAAAGTATAACAGAACTTGTAATTCATTGCACAACGAAAAGTTTTCCTTGATTAATGTTTATATATGATATTTGTAAAACTTGTCACTGTGTATACAGTCGATCGAATTTGTCATTTCTCCTTGGATTTACTGAAAAGGAGCTCTTTAGCTTGTGTTTACACTAGGTCATGAAGAAAATATTTTGTTTGAGTCATTTTAAAGTATCTTATAAGGATGAGTCCAAGTAAAGATATATTAAATAAAATTGATAATAAATTTCAGACTTGGTGTTAAATGAGTTTCTCACATCTTTTGACTGTAGATGTGAATCATATTACTGGAAAGTGTATTGTTAAAATAGTTTTGCAAATTAATTAAAGTCTAATTTTCTTTTCTTATTTTAAGGTTTCAGCAGAGCAGCTTTACCATTTGGGTTAGTCAGGCGAGAATTGTCCTGTGAAGGTTATTCCATAGATCTGCGCTGTCCGGGCAGTGATGTCATCATGATCGAGAGCGCTAACTACGGTAGGACAGATGACAAGATTTGTGATGCGGACCCATTTCAGATGGAGAATACAGACTGCTACCTCCCAGATGCCTTCAAAATCATGACTCAAAGGTAAATATTCATGTATTTATGGTTGCATTTTGTCTAGTATGTTTATCCAAGTTTGTAGAATTAATGTAATTCCAAAATGAATAGACACAGCCCATATCTCAGTTATGTATGAAACTGAGTTGGATTTTTTCACTACTGTTGATTTTTACTTTGTTTTCTACAATATTCAGACTTGTATATTATTTTAATATAGTCTGAAAGAAGGATTATATACTATATATCTTTTATATATTATAAAAGAGGAAGAATAATAATTCAAATGTAATCTTTTTTAGAGCTTCAAAAATTTGAAGTATTTTATATAATAATTAAGAAGGTTTAAATGTTTAGTTCTTTGTCAATCGGTGCTCCTTAGCTTTTTAAAAAAGTAAGCTTTATCCTGGTGCAGTGGCTCATGCCTGTAATCCCAGTGGTTCCGGAGTCTCAGGAAGGAGGATAGCAAGTTCAAAACCAGCCTCAGCAAAAGTGAAGCACTTAGCAACTCAGTGAGACCTTGTCTGTAAATTAAAATATAAAATAGGGCTGGGGATGTGGCTCAATGGTCACATGCCCCTGAGTTCAGTCCTCAGTATCCCCCCCTCCCAAATAAATAAATAAATAAATAAACAAACAAATAAATAAATAGTAAGCTTTAGTTTTTTAAAAAAATATTTTTAGATCTAGATGTACACAATACCTTTATTTAGTTTTTTTTTTTTTAATGTGGTGCTGAGGATTGAACCCAGTGCTTCATTCATGCTAGGCAAGTACTCTACCACTGAGCTTCAACCCTAGCCCAATCTTTTGTTTTTAAAAGCAATTTTAAATTCTAGTAAAATTGAACAGAAAGTACGGAGAGTTCCCATATAACTCCAATCCTTACATAAGCACAGTACGTTATCAGTATCTTTTACCAAAGCTGTATGTTTATTAAAGTCTGTAAACCTACATACACATCCTTACCCCCCAAATTCATAGTTATCTTGTTTTGTTTATGCTTTTTTTTTTTTTTTTTTTTGGCGGCGGGGGTGGGGGTGTACTGGGAATTGAACCCAGGGCACTTTTTCCTCTGAGATACATCCCCAGGCTTTTTAATTATTTTAAATTTTGAGATAGGTTTCTCATTAAGTTGCTGAAGCTGTCCTTGAGCTTGTGATCCTCCTCCCTCTACCTCCCGAGTTGCTGGGATTACTGGTGTGCACCACTGTGCCTGTGATCATAGTTTAATCCCACTAAGAGTCATTCTTGGTGTTTTGCACTCCATGGGTTTTATAAATTGTTTAACAACAGGTGTCCACCATTGTAGCAAACAGAATAGTTTCACTGCCCTACAGATTCTCTGTGCTTTTTCTCTTCCCCTCACCCCTTTTTTCCCCAATGACTCCTGATAATTCCTTATCTTTTTACTATCCCTACAGTTCTATACTGTCATATAGTTAGAATCATATGTAGCTTTTTTAGATTGGCTTCTTTTCACTTAATAATATGCATTTAAGTTTTTGCCATGTCTTTTCTTCCTTCATAGTTCATTTGTTCCTAGCAGGGAGTAATATTCCATTGACCAGACATTACCACAGTTTGTTTTTCTGTTTAAATACTGAAGGGCATTTTGATGTCTTTCAAGTTTTGGCATTTATGAATAAAGCTATTGTAAATATCTGTGTGCAGGTTTTTATTGTGGACATGTTTTCAGGACTTTTGGGTAATTACAAAGATTGTGATTGCTGGGTTTTATAGTGGGAGTACATGTACTTTGATTAGAAACTGTCAAGCTGTCTTCCAAAGTGGTTTATCATTTTGGATTCCCACCAGCAATGAATGGGAATGCTTCTGACTTCACACTCTTGCCAGCACTTGGTACTGACCATGTTTGGATTTAGCCAATGTAATTCGTATGCAGTGGTACCATCTATCTCCTTGGTTTCATTTATAATTCCCTAATGATGGAAGGTGTTATACATCTTCTCATCCATATTGCCCTCTTCCCTAGTGAAGTGTTCATTTAGTCTAAGCTCATTTCTCTAATAGCTTGTTTCTTTTCTTATTGTAAGGTTTCAAGATTTAGCTTGTATATTTTGGATAATATTAAAAAAGAATTATATCTTTTCCAAATATTTTCTTCCAGTTTTTGGACTTCTCATGCTCTTGATCCATAGCTAGAGCAAACATAATAAAACAATACTTTCAAGTTACAGGAGTACATAGTTGAGTATACACTCTATGGATAAAGTCCTCTCAAGAGTTCAGACAACTTCTGGTTGTCTTTCCTAGCAGATTGAGCTTTTTTCACTCATGATTACATCTTAATTTAGAGGCGTATAGAGTGCCATCAATCTAACACATATGTTAATGTGGGGAACATATTTCTGAATAGTAACTGGGATTTCTTCTATTTTTAAAGAGCATATCAATAGGGGTAACCATTCTAATAAGATTCTACTTTTTACAATTCGAACAATTCCTTTCTCTTTTATTACCTTGTACATTGCTTTAGATTATTTTTAAGACAAGGCATAAGGCAGATTGTCTTTTCCTTGAAGTTCAGAATCCCATTTCCACCCCCACCCTCACCTCCCACAAGCAGGAAAACTAAATTTCAGGACAATATAAAATGCGATATCATTGAATGTCTAAGGCACTGTAGTTTGTGTATTGGTTATAAATCGGTTTTTAGCTAACTTTAAAAAGATCACCATTCAATAAGGTAGGAAAAGGAGTCTTAAGTGTGTGTGTACATACACATTCAGATACTATAAAATACCTGAATTCCTGGGTTGAGAAGTACACTTTGATAATTGAATTTGATCAGTTTTATTTCTCCACTAAGTCCTAGTTCATTAACTGCAGAAAATAGTGCGTTATATAGAAACTTGCTATTTAAAATGCTGATACTGTTCATCAGGATTTTTTAAGAAACCAAAAAATATAAGTGTACTTTTGAAAGATTTCTACCAAGATGTTTTTACTTTCAATTCTTAATGAATTTTATTAATAATTAGTCAAAATCTTATTTGCATAAAATAAATTATGTTTTAAATGAATTCTTATTTAAAACATAAATCTTTTATAAACTATGTAAGTTTAGAATTGTGATCTATGAAATCACAGTGACTTAAAAATCCAAAATCTGAAATACTCAAAATCTGAAATCCTTTGACAGGTTGTAATCAAAACATAGACCCACTCAAAGTATTGTGTAAAATTATCTTCAGGTTGTATATATAAGATACTTTTGAAACATACACAAATTTTATGTTTGGTTCTTCACAATATCTAATTGTATATATCTAGATTGGGTTAGGTTTCAAGATTTACCTTGTATATTTTGGATAATATTATTATCCAAAGTACTGAAAATCTGAAATGTTTTTGGTCCCAAACTTTTTGGATGAGGAATGCTAAACCTGTAGAACATTTTGTACTTAGTATTTCAAAATTTTGGAACTACTTTTGTCAGGGAGACTGTAAGATTCATACTCAGAAACAACCATTTATTTATTCTTCACATGTTGATCTCTTTGTTCAGTGCTAGTATTATGAATTAGGCATCTGAAAAGCAGACTGGAAAGAAATAGGAAATGAAGAAGTTTTATTGATGGTTACCTGTTTTTATTAGGCTAACAAAAAGCAGTGGAAGTTGGTACAAAGAAAATGTTTGGAAGAACTGACTTTATGGTCTTGTACATTGTAGCTAATTTTTGTTTGCCTGTTTATATATGCATTTAAGTACACAACAGATACCCAGTCACATATGTCAGACTTATGCTTGCTCATATGAATATCATTACATGTTATAGGAAACAGGCAAAATAAAATGTCAAGTTATTTTCATCATTTATTTTATGAATGTGCAACTACATTTCTAGATATGTGAATGCTTTAGCAAGATCTAGAGATTGTCAGTATTTAAATTCTATGAACATAAGTAGTTGTTCTCTCCACCCTTCTTATCAAAACCTCAAATAGTATATGCTGTATTGGAACAGATAAAAGGGAAATAAAACTATTAATGGTTAACCTCCCCTTTTAAGTTGTATTACACAGGGGTTATAATTATTTAATAATCAGAATGACAGTTGAAACACAAACATTTTATTTAAAAGAAAGACAAAGTTAAGATGATTTCAAAATTAGGTTCATAAGATGATTTTAAAATTAGTGGTAGCTTATAAGCACCCCAGACTCTGTATGTCAGAACATGAACCTTTAAATAAGACTGCTATTCAGTATAGCATTTCAAATAGCTATAAGAGAAACAAGAGGGCAGTATTTTTGCCCCAGTATTATTGTGAATAATAATAATAATAGTTATTATTATTATAACCTTTATTTTATCCATTTATTTATTTATTTTTTTTATGTGGGGCTAAGGATTGAACCTAGGGCCTTGCATGAGCTAGACGATCACTGTATCGCTGAGGCACAATCCCAGCCCATGAATAATTATTTTTGAAAGTGTAGACTATTTTGGCTCTTTAAAAAACACCAGGCTCCTAATAACTTAGCAAGTTTTTATATTTTTATTCCTCAAAAAATGTGATTTTTTAAAAAAAGTAATGCAATAAAGTGAGAGAGAGTATTATTTAATATAGAAGTTTCTCTATGGAAAGCTCAAATAAGAACATTAGTCTTTTCCCATTAAATTTGAAAGCACCATTTTCTGCATATAATGAAAGAAATCAAGAAATTTAAGTACCAGTTACAGTATTTTTTGCTTTGCATTTCAAGTTTTTTTTCATCCCTCTCCTCTACTGTTACCACTTTAGCAGTTTAGAATGAAGTAAATAAATTAACTTGTAATTCATATTTGTGATCATAAAAGTATTTGTATTCACTTCATATTTTCTATTTCCTGTTCAGTTTAAAAGTATAAAACTAAAGCTCTCTTAATAACTGATAGTATACTTTGAATTGCTTGGGATCAGAGGTATTTCAGATATTTGATTGTGGAATATATGCACAGACGTTACTATTTGACCATCCTAATCTGAAAGTCTAAAACTGAAAATTCTCCATCTGAA